TCTAAGGTCTTTACTAGAATGCTGACTAGATAATGCATCCTCATTATTCATGGTTTAAAAATACAGAAAACAGTCTGAGAAGTCTCCCTCCCCTGCAAGCCATCTAGGCACCCATTCTTTCACCCTCTACACCAGTAATAGTAGTTTCCTTCCAGAGGTCGTTTATGCATATCAAGAAGTCTGTATAGTCTCCCTCCTTGCTTTTAACATGTAAGCATTGGGCTGTTAACCACAAGGTCAGTAGTTCAAACCCATCAGCTGCTTCATAGGAGAAAAATGAGGTTTTTCTGCACCCATAAAAGATTTATACCTTTGGAAACCCCATATAGGGTTCAAGGCAGAATGGAGTTGATGGCAGTGATGTTTTTTTGGGGTATGTACAGTAATATAGCTTTCTTTTGCTTATTTTCAGCAATACATTTTGGAGATTTTCCATAAAGAATGCGTAAATACATTTAAGTTGTTTGTAATTTCATAGTATTTTAATCTATCAACTGTACTATTATTTTTTTAAATCCATTATCTATTGCACATTTAGGTTGTTTACAATGAAGAGTTTTCATATTGATATAATTGTACATGTAGAGAAATATACTTGAAGGATAAATTCCTAGAAGTGGAATAATTGAAATTTTTCCGAAGATTGTGAAGGCTATTTTTTTCCTGTATATTGCCACTGATTTTTTTTTCTTTTTTGCCTGTGATTTCTATGAATAGCCTTCAAACAATTCATGGAAAAATGAAATTGAAAGATACTAGAAGTTCTCCATGAACTTTCAAAGCCTCGTGTTTGTTCAGGACATGTTATAAATTAGACAATCAAAACAAAACTTCTGCCTATTAAAAAATGTAGAGCTTCTTCCTTTTGAAAGATACCATTAAGAAATAAAAGTCAGGTCTTAAACTTGAAGAAAATAATTACAGTCCACGTATCAAATATAAAGGGTTTGTGGGCTCAATGTAAAGAAGTCTGTCTTAGTTCCTGTAGCTGCTGTTTAAAAGCACCACAAGCTGGATGGTTGGTTAGAAATGCTCGTCTCACCACTCTGGAGACTCGGGTCCAGTACCTGGGTGTTGGCCATGCTGATTCTTTCTGAAGCTTTAACGGAGCATCTGCTGCCTGCTTTGCTTCTAACTTCTAGGTCAGCGGTTCTCAACCTTCTAATGCCGCGACCTTTTCAGACAGTTCCTCATGTGGTGGTGACCCCCAACCATAAAATGATTTTCATTGCTACTTCATCACTGTCATTTTGCTACTGTTATGAATTGGGTGAACCCCGTGAAAGGGTCATTCAGCCCCCAAAGGGGTTGTGACCCGCAGGTTGAGAACCACTGTTCTAGGTGTTCTTTTTCTGGCAGCTACAGCATCACCTGGCTTCTTCCTCCTGCCTATGTATTTTCTCTTTTGTAAGGACATATATGTGTTTTAGCAGTTTTATTCATAAAAGGGCAAAACTGAAAACAACTCATTACGAGGTGAATGGATAAGCACATATAATGGAATACTACTCTGCAATAAAAATGAACAACGATAACAGTATGAATATATATAATATAATGCATTCTGCAGGGGAAAAGCCTATGCCCCCTCTCCTCTAAAAAAATTACATATTGTATGATTCCATACATGTGGTTCTAGAATTGGTCAAACTCACCTAAGTGATAGAAACTCACTACCATCAAGCTGATACTAATTCAGCCTCCTTATGTAGGGCGTCTGAGACTCACTTTTTACATGAGGGAGCAAACAGCGGCAGCTTTCATGGAGTGACTAGTGGGGTTGCCCTGGTGATCTTATGGTGAGCAGCCTGATGCCTGCACCACCGGGTCTCCTTACAAAATCAGAATATTAGAGACGATCTCCCTACACCTGGTGCCTTAGAGACTTAGTGGATATGTGTTGGGCTGCTAACTGCCAGATCAGCAGTTCAAAACTACCAGCTCCTCTGAGAGAGGTAGAGAGTTAAATTCCTGTAAAGATTTAAAGCCTCAGAAATCCCCAGGGGCAGTTGTCTGCCCGGTAGGATTGCTGAGTCATCTTTGATTCAAAGGCAGAGAGCTTGGCTTGGATCTCCCTGCACCCAGTGCTTCCAGAGTTACTGACTGGACACGAGCACAGGGAGCGTTGGGGATGGAAACACTCAGTAGCGTCCCTCAGTTACACAAATAGATATTTTTGAAACAGTGAATTCTGCACTTAAAGTCTATGAATTTTACCGTTTATACGTTATACTTCAATAAATGGAGTATACAAAAAAGGCAAACTGATTTTCTTTTAAATTCATCTTACAAAAACTGTAATCCTCTGCTTTCACAGCAATACCCTTTTATAAATCTATTGTTCATACTTCATTCTTCAATAGTTTTCATAAATGAGATTGCTTTCTTTCATTATAGATCAAGTTAAGTATTTAATTCATTAATAGGTTAAGTAACAATAATAGGTATTTATTGTTAAAAATTGT